GTTTACAAAGGTTGTCAGTGGTGGCTCCTAATTGAAGGCCTGGTGGAAGAGGTCCATTTTACAGGCCCTGCAGAACTGTAAAAGGTCCCGCAGATAGTTAAGTTCATACCCAACAGTGACTGGCTAAAGGGTTGTCATGAGGTGATACTCTGATCAATGGTAGGTTGATCAGCATGCATATGCAAGAATTGCCATTTTCCTCCAATTTTCAAAGTAATATTGCTAGGGAGATATAAGAATGGGTTTGCCCCCTTTTTATATTGGTATTGAACATTGCCACATTTACTTTCCCACCCAAGGAAGGAGCATTTTTTAAAAAAACATTAATAAGAGGTCATTAAAACATGCTTGCAATTGGAGACAAATATTTCCTGGTATTTTTTAACACTCAACACTGATATCAATATAAGAATGTTTATATCAATATAAAAAGAAGGACATGTCCTCCAAAACCATCTTCCCACCCTAGCAATATAATTTTCTCCTTTAAACTAGATAGAAAGTAGCTCTCTTTACCAAAAGTGCCGGGTTTTACCAGAAGCGCCATCCCATAACCTGTTTAAAAAAGCTTTTTAACACCTGTAAGCAATATGTCTTCATATTGCTCTAAATGTGCGGAACTACAGGGGAGGGGTTTGCAAGCAGCTTTCATCCAAGGAGTGTTTTCTAAATGCAGTACTCTCACACATACATAGGTGCCATTTTGTTTTTCGGAAGCTTTCTATCTGTTTTTCTGTGGAGGAAAATGGCAATTCTTGCATATGCATGCTGATCAACCTACCATTGATCAGAGTATCACCTCATGACAACCCTTCAGCCAGTCACTGTTGGGTATGAACTTAACTATCTGTTAAGTTAACTATCCAATAGAAATACTTCTCATTGTGAGTGGTAACTCTGAACATTGGAGAAAAATTTCTTCCATGGCATTGAGAAATGCTATTTCTCACTTTTATGTTCTTTTGGCAGGAAAGCAAAGAATCTTCCCTCCAGTGAACTGATTTTAAAAAATTATGTCAGCCAATCCTCTACTGTGTATTCAAATTCAACACAATGTGAAAACCTCTTTCCAATCAACTTATTACAAAAAGGGAAGATGTAATGTTATGTTAGTATATCACTACAGTGCATGCACAAAGATTTAAAAAGAGGTTGGTACAGTGACACCACAGTGATGCCAATGATGATGATAGTACCCTCTCTCTATATTCCTGATTATTTCAGCACGTCCGGAAGAAATAAACTTACTCTGCACCTGAAAAAATGCAGAGAGGGGAGACATGCAGAATGACCATACCCAAGCCCGTTCTGATGCTTGAGACTTGATTTGCTAAGAAAACTTGTAATAAATCGAGCATACAAAAAATGTGCAGGCAGCAATCCATTGTCTTTACAATGCCAGTTATTTGTACTTCGCAGGCTGCAAAGGAGAGAAATTGGGATTAGTCTGCCCATGACCCATGGCAGTAGGAAGAATTATCCAGTAATACTGAATCTAGTTAGGCTTTTCCTTCTGAGTAACATTTAGCATTCCCAATCACATGTAAAGATACTCACATTTAGCAAAACACTTAAGAAAGAAGCAGCTCTGTTTAAAAGCTTGATTTTGGCTGCGGTCACACGTAACAGAAGCCACACAAGTGAGACGGAAAACAGCCGGAGTTTCCGGGCGCGATCTCACCAGCACATCTGGGAAGCGTAGCACTCCCGTGGCTCAACAGAGGCTTCCAGCCGAAACTGCGTGGCAAAAAACTAGTACCTTGGAGGTACTAGTTTCCGGAAACTGCGGGGCAAGGGCGGGCGTCTGATCGCGTTTCCGGTGGCATCCGGCGCCCGCCCATGTCCCCTTGCAAATAAGGTGTTTTTGTTTTGTCCAAGTCTCTGTGGATGCGCATGCGCACCCAACGGAGCATGCGCATTTGTCATGTACACAAAAATAAAAAACAGTTTGCCGCGGCGTGCGCTTCTTCGTTGTGCGCCGGCTTGTCCTATGATCGGCACCTCTCCCTTGCCATGGAACCTCCACGGTACCTCCACAGGACCTCCACAGGAGGTCTGATCACGTAACTGTGCAGTAGTTTGCCCCAGGGCAAACAGCCACGCTTCTCCTCTGCAGTTTCCTGCCAGTGTGACCGGGGCCCAAGTTATCTTTTCCTCCAGAGTGATTCTGGACACTTCTGGGTATTTGACTGTACCTGTTGGCCCTATTTTTAATTGTATCTAAAGAAAGTTGTAGTTTACATTTTTATGGCATCAGTAGTTTAGCCCTACAAACACTAACATGCTTCGATTTCCCTGTAAGGGCAGTTAAATTTTCAAGGATTTCCCCCCCCAGTCTCCATTACCTAGCATATGGGTACAAATTAAATTTTACATAATAGCAGCTGAATTCATACATGCTCACTTTGTACTTTTTTATAGACTTAAGTAAATTGCTGTAAAATATTTTCATGGCAATCATTTAATATTGGTTTGACAGCAAATGTTTTACAGCAACATTTATTTCTTTCACTGTGTGCACTTCTATTTTATAATCATAGTTTTCCTAGAAAACATCTTCAGTGTATCCAATTAAACATCTAATTCATATGAATTCACATTCTAATTCATAGTCATTTATTCATTTCAGTGTGCTTTATTTTGATTTGTGCTGGTTGGATTCCTCATTTAACTCTAGAGTTACAGCTTATTTATCAGAACTTTAGTTGAGCACACTGTAATGGTGTGGACAAATCCTACACTTCCTGCTTGACATTGGTTTCCTTCTTTGAACAGAACTGTGTGTAGGCACAATACGTATCCACATAGATACCTATTATTGCCTACACACCACCAGATCATCTTTGGTCCTGAACAGACAGGTTTTTAGATCCACACCTGGAGTGCCTGGCGGATTTAAAGGTCATGACCAGACAGCAGCATCTGGAAAATGTGCCTGTTCCGTGAGCATCCCATTTTGCCACATTTTAGAGCTGTACTTAAAAGATACTAGTTAAAATCTGGAGTTTTAGCTTCCCGATGGGCCAATTGTGGACTTTCCCCCATCTGATCATTCCAGCGCACAATCCTCCCATCGAGATGGTCTGACGTCAGAACATCCCGAGTGGGCACCATTTAAAAAAATTCTTAGCAATATGCATGTAAAATATGTGCATAAATACGCAACAGCCGCAGAGCTCCGCTCAAACGTTCCAGACAGTTTCATATTTCTAAACGGCCTGTGAGTTGTATGAACTGCATTAATTAAAAAGGTACCTAGAGAGAGGTACCACTAGCAGTGCTTTAACCATTCAATTCTGTGCATGCACGGAAAAACAAGTACACATTGAGGCACGGATGCACATGTGCAGATTTTTTTTAAAAAAACCCAACCGTGCGGCTCCTTTAGGTGGATGCCGTCTAGACAATCCACCGTGGCGTATGTGCACGGTAAGGGGAGCTGTCTGGTCATGCAACGCCAGATAAAAAAGATTGGGATCAAATTAGAGCCGGGCCAATTGCTGTATTAGCTGCCCGTCTCAATGCACCCTTAGTTTAGAATATACCTTGATTTGCATTATTCAGCCCTGCTTTTCGCTTCTCATGCCAAGTCATCCTCATTATTTTTATAATGTGTGTGTGTGTGTGTGTGAGAGAGAGAGTTTCCTGAGTTTCTTCTCTTCATCATGCCTTAGCAGCATCTTACTCTAGTATGACTAAGAATCAACAGTTATGGAAATTATTTTTCAAATGCTGATAGGGAAGCCATATAGTGGATATCTATGATTTCACCAACTACCCAGGAATTAGTTTACAGAGTTGGTAGCAGGTAAGGAAGTAAAATTTCACCACATTTTACCCAAATTTTGATCAGTGGAGAGTACTAAAACCACTATATACTAGCAGGCTGTGGTTTTCCAAAAACTGGAGGTATTTCTCCATCCACATTTTTAAACATTAAGAAAACATTCTCTTTGAAGTATAGGGCAACATGGCTAGATAGTTTTCACAAAGTTGTCAGGTGAGGAAGGCATCCCTGAAGTTGGTGGTGATAGGCTACTCCTGATAAACCCATTTACGAGAGACATGTAAATCAGCAACCAGTCTTTTGGTTAGAAGAAGTAAAATTGTGCATGTATGGTAAAACCAATGATGGAGCTAAACTAAGGTGTCCACCAGCACAAGGACTGCTCCCCATGTGTTGTGATTTTCTCATCTGCCTCCCTAAAGTGTCCCCTGAAATGCTCTTGGAGAGGGGGACCCCCCCCACCCAAGAGTAGGCATTTTGGGTTGCCATGGGAGGTGAAGTCAGGAACATAGTACTCTGTGGGCAGAAATCTTTGTGCCCACAGAGTGATATTTTCCAAGCCAACTTATCTTCTGGTGTACCATAGATCTTGTGGCCTAGGGCATTATACGGATAAGTCTCAGTCACTCCAGGCTGGATGGCTTTTGAATGGTCTTTGAGTCTTTAGAAGATAGTAATTGCAGCCAATTTTACATGTTGACTTGCTCCTTTAAAATGCTTCTGTAATTTCTATTTCCTGTTCTCATTTCTTTCGAAGGAAAGAGGCAATCCATGTGTACTTCCTCTTCATTGGTATAATGAAAGTCCTATATGTGAAGTATTCCCATTCAAAATAAATGTTTTTAACCAGTTGTTCTCTATTTTTCTTTATATAAGGCAATCAAAGACTGGATAGTACTATAAAAACTGCTATGGTTACCTTATCCATTGAAATGTATAAAAATGTTGGAAATAACCATTAATCCTTATTATTGTGCCTTTTTATCATGTATATGCATATTAATTAAAATAAAGCAAACAAGTTTATGATATATAAATGCAATATAGTAATGTAACTTCCTCCCCAACCACATGAGTTCATTTTGAAGTGCAAAATTAAGCATAATAAAATGGAACCCAAGTGTCTAGGTGTTTCCTTTTTCCTACCCTTACTTTCTATTTGATACAAGCCATAAATTGATAAATGAGCATTAAAATGTGTCTTGTCTTTTAGCCTGAAACCTTTGAGCATCTCTTTCTCAAGCACCCTGAAGCGCTTTCATTTGGTCCTCTACTTCTGGAGCCAGAAATAGTGTTGGAAGATATCACTATTCATAAAGCAATGAACAATGAAGACAAACAAGACTTGCTAGCTGTTGGCTCACTGTTTGCAACCATTCAAGACTTTGAGTGTGACTCAGCTTGCTCTAGTGGCCATTTCAATAGTGATAGTATTGATGCTGAAACCAGTGAAGGGGCTGCAGGACAATCTAATGTAAAATATGCAACTATTATAAGTAACTCTTTGTCAAATGGGTTTTATGAGCCACCAAGAGATCTAGACAGTCCTTTTGAAACTTGTTTTCTAGGCCATGATTCTTTAATTCCAGCTTCTTTCTCTAACAGTTCTTGGGCAATGGGAAGTCAAGCATTTCTGGTATTACCTGATGGCCATCTAGGCCCACCCAGAAAAATGGTGTCTGTCTCTGCTGCTTCATCTGAGGGCTTCTCGGAACCTTCAGACCAGGACAGACATTTCAGTGAGGAACACAGGCTACAGAGGAGCCTGTTCTGTTTAGGGATGCATTCAATCAAGAGAAGTGAAAATGACATCTTTTTAACAGAAAATTCAAATGTGATGTGTCACTTTCACACCAGTGCTCTTTTCAGGAGTATGAAATTTCCTCAAGATATGTGTTCTAATCTAAAGCCTTTAATCAGCAAATGTGAAACCTCCATTCAGACCTTTATACCATACATGCCACAGTTTCAGACACTGACAATTAAACTACATGAGACAGTTAGTAGCAAAACATAAACTACCCCAAAGCCCAAGCTACTTTTAATCATGCTATTAAAGTTCAAAATCCAGCAGGTGGGATACAAAAGCACCCTTCTACCACCGGAAGGTGACTTCTGTTGACTGAATGCCTGTTTAGTGTGAGGTATACATCACACTATAATATTGAGTAAGCAAAGTGGAAACTAAACCCCAATATGTGCTTGTACATGAAGTTCCTCAGCTTCTTGTACAAGTAGAAATTACTGTGCAAATTCTTGTACAAACTCTTGTGCAAGTGTTAGCAGACTGGCACTAGTGACTATTTTCCTCCTTGTGATATTTTTTTATGCATCCCAATGTGTTTTTCTGGCTAAGAAGCATATTGGAAGGTATTTTGCACAACAAATAGACCTGTTACTCATTGTGCAGATATCATGCTTTTTCAAGTGCAACAACCAAACATTTAGTACCTGAAGAAATGTGATTTTCCCCTCACCTGATAGCGCTACAGTGACATTTGTATAACATATGGCTGCATGAAAGTCATCATGGCATCTTTTGGATATTGTCTGAGGTGTCACTAATTTGATAAACAACAGACTCCTTCCCGAACTCTCTGTTACTTCTTCACTTGATGATTTTTTTTTCATTTTTCAAAATGTTTACATTTCTGCAGTGACTGTGCTCTTCCCTACTGTGCGAAGAAAGTGCAGAAAAGTACATTCAGATATTTAAATAAAATAAAAATTATCCCAACTCTTCCCTTTCCTCCATGGTTATGATTATTACTTTTGAGTACCAAAAGGTAAGTGCTTTGGTCCATAGTAAATGTGCACTGACATAAATTTATATAAACCTGTCTTCTACCCAGTTAGACCACCAATCCATCTAGCTTAGCACTGTCTATTCTACATGGCCATGGTTCTGCAGAGTCTGGACAGAGAAAAGTCTTTCCCAATATCTGAGAATTCTGGCATGCAAAGTATGTGTTCTCTTGAGACATCACCTATTTGAGTTAAAAGTTAATAAATATTCATGTATCTTCTTCTGAATAACATGTTGCTCTCAAGTCATTTAGTAATGTTAATATTTGAAATCTAACCTGAAAAGCACCATTGATTTCAAGGGAATTGTCACAGGATCTTATAATTAGCTTTAAGATCAAATGCAAACAAAATGCTTGGGAACGAATTGCTATGGCAAATTCCCCTCCTTTCAGTCTCTTGTGCTGTCTAAACCTTGAAGCAGCCAGATTTGGCACTGTGTAGGCTTTTGTCATGTCTCTTCAACCTCATGCACTAGCATAAATGTTTATGCTGTGCAAGGAATGAGACCAGGCCATTAACATGGATATGCCTGGCTATTTCTTCGATAATGATAAGAACCATACTGCATGGAGGTTGTTCTTGTGCAAATATACCCCACCACACACACAAGCACATTGCATTGGCACAGCCACTAATTATGCTATACATAGATGCAAAATTATTCACCCAGTGGCATCATGTTCTGACAATTTTTTTTAAAAAAAATGTGCAACAGTGCATGCCCACTGGTGTTTTTAGCACTAAATAAAAAGCATGTCTGCTGCTATAGTTTGAATAGAAAATTAAATGTAATGAAATCTTTTCTGCTAAACAAGTGACCTTTTAGGTTTTGTTCCTGATATAATACATATGCAAAGAAGTGACAACCTCAGGAAAAGGGGGTGTTAAAATATATAAAGTATTACAAGGCTTCTAGAAAATAGATTCAGGTGGGTAGCTGTGTTAGTCGGAAGCAGCAGGACAAAGTTTGAGTCTAGTGGCACCTTTAAGACCAACAAAGTTTTATTCTGGATATAAGCTTTTGTGTGCATGCATGAAAGGCTTCTATAAGGTATTGACTGGAGAAAAACACAAGGAAATTAACATAAAAGAAGTCTTGTAATTGGTTGAACGATTGAAGTTCTCCTGTTTTGCAATGAAAAATGTCTATGTAAATTAATACCACTGAAAATACAATCAAAAATGTATAGAGTTATCTATTGATTTAATATTTAATAGTGAAGCACCACTGCTTCAATTCTGTTTTTCAAAGTACAAAACTAACAGTGCAATCAATCCAAAGCAGAGTTACATTCACAACCACATGAAGCCTTATGCTGAATCCAAGCATCCTTCTAAGATTATTGACTCAAATCTATTTTAGAAGGGTGAAACTCTGTTTAAGATTGCACTGTGAATTAGATCAAAGTTTAAAATGGAAAACAGCTAAATATATATTTTCATTTAATCCTAATTAAACTGAACTTTGTGACCACAGACAAGTAACCTTCTCATCGTTCATTTGAATGTTATTCATACAGGAAATTGATTAGAAAATCTAAATAGTTTAAGCCCATAATTTTTGCAAATATCAAAATATTTGTATACAATTTGCATACAATATGTGTACAATTGAAATACCAGTCACACTTGAAAAGTACTAAATTATATTTAAATCCAATAATTTTGCATTAAATTGATATATTATTTCAACAAAAGTAACATAAACTTTAAAAGCTATCCCAAAAATCTTGAAAGAATGCAAGGTATTATGAAGTGCAATTTTTAAAAAAGTAAATGTCATTTGGAATTTTGAAACAATGTGAAATTTTTAGTGGTCTTTAGCTTTCAGATTATCAATGTGAGATCAAAATTGTCTCAAAATCAGACTTTTAATTGAAAGTCAACACAGCAACCCTCAAATGGTCTAAATATTGTGTCCATCAGCAGGTAGGGTCAGAGTAACGTAGCAGCACTATTGGTTTCAGACTCCTAAAGGGACCTCCAGTTTACATACTACACAAAGGCAAAATTAGCTTCTCTATTCCTAATAAGTGTTAATATATTTGCTAAAGGCCCGCTGTGGAGCTTTCCAGCTGACTAGAGACTGGAACTTGAATTTACTTACCAGTAAGAGTATGCTACAATGGAGTCCTTACACTTATTAGTCCACAGTATACCCATTTGAGATTATTGTTTACAGTTTAGTGGATATGGTAATCATTGGCATTACTTTGGGAATACGTTTTCTTGCAATTTTAGGCCAAGATCTAAAGGGCCATCGGAGGGGCCACAGCAGTTCTTCCATAGGGCTCCTCTATGACTTCCAGGAAGATGCTTCTAAAATCTGAGAGAGACTTGTTGTGTGTAACTTTTAAAACAGCACAAGGCAGTATAGAGTGAAAATAAGATTAGGGATGTATTCACATGTGTCAATAAGTATTTTGGGTTCCCAAGCTACATTAAGAACGAAGGATATTTTTACAGGAGAGCCACATATTGTCGGAAGTTGTTATTGTTGGATTATTATAATAATTCTTACTGTCTAGACAGGAAAATCAAAAGAGCTAAATGCTTACATGGCACAACATCTGTAAGCCCTATGTTTGCCCAGTATAGGGCTAAGCCAAGGGTGGTCATGCGATGTGTACAAAACAGTAGAAATTAAAATAGAAGGAACTTTGAGATGAGGTGACAATCTGCAAATCTCATTCCCCAATCTCCCCCTCAGGTTTTTCTAAACTCTCCTCTTCCCCTTTCCCCCTTTAACTTACTTTCAATATTTCTCTCAATAACTTGTTCTCAATATTCCTTTTTCTAGAAGAAGGTGCATGTAATCAAAATAGCTGAAAAAATCCACTTATGTAATAATTGCTACAGTCATAAAACAGGGAATTGAATGAATTTCACCATTATTGTCCTAACCCACCCATTAATTAGGTTTGTTTTATGTGTTTTATGTTTTTATATTTCATGCTAATTGTCACATTACAAAGCTTCTAGTAACGGATGAAATCAAAGCAGATACAAATACCCATTCAAAACAAACTGAAATCTATAGTTATGTTAACCTTTTTTTTTAACTTACATCTTAGCTTTATCTATCAAAAATCAGGCCAAACCACAACCTAACATATATTGCTACCAATGCTCCCTCTAAGCTGTGGAGTCTTGTGAGCAAAAATTCTACTTTGTGAGCTACTAAGTGAGTGATTTGGCTACTGCATAAATAAGTTTGCTCCGGAGCCATCCTTCCTGAGCTAAGACAAAAATGTGTGAGTCGCAGGCTGAGAGCCAGCTTGGTGTAGTGGTTACGTGCGCGGACTCTAATCTGGGAGGACCGGGTTTGATTCCCCACTCCTCCACCTTGCACCTGCTGATGTGACCTTGGTCAGTCACAAGCTCTGGCACAGCTGTCCTTGAAAAAGAGCCGTTTGTGTCAGAGTTCTCTCAGCCCCACCCACCTCACAGGGTGTCTGTTGTGGGGAGGGGAAGGGAAAGGACTTTGTAAGCCGCTCTGAGACTCCAAGTGAAGGGCGGGGTATAAATCCAATCTCTTCTTCTTCTTCTTCTTCTAAAAAACTGAGCTAGCTCACACTAACTCAGTTGAAGAATATATATGCCACAAAAATCTTTCTGGGATGTGTTATAAGTCAGGCCCGTTGTGTTGGTTGTATAAGCAGGAGACATGTCACCATAATAGCATGGACCGCATGGGAAAATACCATAAAACATCAATTTTTTATTTCCATCTCTTTGTACTATTCTGACCTTTTTATTAGCAACTTGATTTTTCTTGTTGCTGTGCCTCTGAATTCTGAGTGCTGTGCCTTACCTTTTTAAAAATGTTGCTTACCTAGTTGTGAATCTCTTACTTTTTAAAAATGGTGCTTACCTAACTGTGGATCTCTGAAATCCGGGTTAGGAGAATATAGTGCCCAAAGGATACACATATTTCTAGAGGAAAATCAAGATTTGGGTAGTCTTCAAATGGATGCTCTTTGAATACTTTTTGATGCCTTAGCCATATTTTGTCTTTATTTAACCAATAAGACATAAGTAAGTATCCCTTCAAAATTACTACCCACAGCTCACTAGGACTATTCCCCTATTGTATCACTCTTCACAGTGGGAATCAGGAGACTTTTTAGGAGACCTAACATTGCTTCTTAATCACCACCACCACCACCACCACCACCACCATCATCATAGTGTTATCCTAAATGACTG